TTTTTGCTGTTTCAATATCACAAGTAAGTAGAGAGATAACACGGCAGGTAATTGCGCGCACGTGTGTGTATGTGCAAGCTGTGCTTCAAAAAGCCGCGTACTATGGGCGCGGGTCGTCGGCCGTAATCACAGCGCCCGCTCTTCTTTTGAGCCAAACGAAACGACTCGCGGCGCAAAGCAGCGCACAACTCGCTCGCGCAACCCGCTTTGCGCTTGCGATTTTTTTTCTACCGACATATGGAAGTTATTGTGGCGCTTTTTTTGGTTGGCTTTGCGCGACCCGCCCCACGTCGCTCAACGGTTTCGAGGGCCGTTCGTGTTCGGGGAAGGGGGGAACGCGTGGGTTGGGTTCCGTTCCCCCCCAATCCCCGGGTTATATGTATGTGTGTGTTCGGAATAGTTGCTTGTGGGGGGGGGGGAGGGGGGGAGGTTGGGAAGGTACTTTACAAGCCATGTACGTAGGTATGTAGTAAGTGGATAATCTTTTTTTGTTGCCGTTGGGGTGCCGTGTCGGGGAAAGTGAGGAGAGAGAAGGGAAAGGGGGGCTGTGCGGGAGTAGTAGGGCTTACGAGGGTGAGAGAGAGAGAGGGGGGATTCGCCGGTGTGCAAGAGAGAGGTTTGGGGGGTTTCGATAGGAGGTTGCCAAGGTTGAAGATGTGGTTGTGATGGTGGGGAATCGATTGTGACAGTCTATTCTTACACTGTCATGTATCATCACTAGCTTTCTTAACGCTATTTTGCTTTTTCGCTTTTTGGAGCCTCTTCAACTATGCTATTTATAATTTACCAAACCAAAGTCTTGTTAGTGGACGTGACGATGTGGGAAAATGTTGAGAACGCAAGATGATGTAGAGTAAATGCCCATATTCTTTTGACTGACGAGACGGATCGCTAAGGGTCGTACTTGGTTAGTTCTTACGACCATATGTAATACGGTCTAGATCACGTAGATTCTTGGCTGCGCAATGCCGTTTTTGATGTGCATGACTACTATCTCCCTGGCAAGTTCCGAAGTGCTTTATACCGGTTTTTGTCCATTAGCATTCTTCTCTTTTTTCCAACGAACATAGCTCACACTGCAGCTGAATGTACAGAGTTTGCCAAGAGAGCCCTTTCAGTGTCATCGGTGTATTGTTCCGTGGTGGAGAGACTACTGCAACTTAGTAACAGTAAAGCAGCTGTGACTTTGAAGACGTGCATAGTGAAACTGATGATGTACATAGGAGCTTCTGCTCTAAATTTAACATGGTTAGAAGTATACCTGAAGCTGTTGTAAACGGGTTTTAACAGACGTGGCACTAAAGTTCTCTCATACACACTTCGCAAACCAAGAACGTAGTAATGCGCATACCTATACTTAATTCCTCGCCATGGATTTCCGCACCAGTGGTTTTCAAAGACGATGCAAAGTAATACATAAAAAAATGTGACAAAGCTTATGTGAGAATCACGAAGAGATTTATCCAGCCATAAAGTTGGCAGCATCCAAAGATACTTTGGGGACATACGACATGATTCGCCAGGTACGAAATTTAAGCGGTAAATATAGAGGCACATCGCTACGGATCTACCCATCGGTGTGCACCCTCGTACCAGAGAAACATAATATAGTAAAGATCTGCTCTGTCAAGAAAAAAAGGAACAAAATCTTTACCAAACTCCCCCCTTACTATCTCCGTATGGTACAAACCCCTCGCGTACGTATCCTATTATTAAATTAGACGTTACCCTTCTGGCGTTCTTACATGCTCCGTCCCACGTCGCGTAACCCGCTAGCAGCGGGTATGCACTGAAAAACACCCAAACTACAGCGGTGCACCTGTCGTATCTGCAGCTACCATCAATCACACAGACAGCGATGCTCAGGACACTATTCTGATGTGCTGTGCAACCAGCGGAACGCCACAGCGCGAAGCGGCAAAAGTCGGGTGTGTGTGTGTGTGTGTGTCTGGGCATATTTTGTTGGTAATATTCTACTAATCATCGCATGCGAAGATGATCAAGAAAGGTAAGAAAGTAGTGCAACAAGTTGCTGACTGAGACGAAAGTGGCTAGAACAACCCTTGGCTGTCATGGCCAAGTGGGTATGTGCAGTTGTACACTTGTACTTACGTATGTAAGGCGTTCTAGAAAGAAAAGGGGCGTGTTGTGCCGTGAGTACTACCGGTTTACTTATTCAGGGTATATGAGCGAGTTGGGGTAATCACATAGTAATGTAGGGCGTTCCTTGCTTGTCAGTAAGGGACGTTGGACAGAGAGAGACCATTGTGTTAATGGCGCTGACTAGCTGCGTGGGCTGTGCCTAAGCTGTGCGTAGCTGTGCGAAGCCCCGTTTCCTACGCAACGCCTTCGTCCGCGTCGTCCGGACTCCAAAAGTCGAAAAGCTGGGGCAGCAACAGGTGCTGTGTCTGGCAATATCCCTGTTGACTGTGTACTCAGACAGAACGCGTTACCTGCAACCATGTGTGGGTGTGTGACCGGGCCGTGCGCCTACTAACTAATTAAGCAGTTGAAAAGGCGAGTTTGTATGGTTTGGCTTTCTGTCAAAGTGACACTAATTTTGAGAGGGCGTTTCTGAAAATGCCTTGGTCGTTTTGTACACATGTGAAGTCGAGTGGTGTTCACACAGGAGATGCAACTTTCTGATTAAGACGTCGGAACGAGCATTCACCCTCCCGCCTTGGCGTCAGGTACCCGAGATGTGCTGACGAAAACCTGGGCCCCCGAACCCTGCGCAGCATGTGCATCTCAACAAAGAGATTGTGCGCGCAGTCTGTATGGTCGTCAAGTGCTTTGGTAAGCTGAAAACACTTTATCGATGCCACGGGCTGTTGAACTGTACCCTAGCAGGCCGCTGACTGGAGAGGAGTTTGCGCAAGTGAAGCAAATTTCAGGGCACAGGCAGTGTTGACCAATGGATGGCCGAGTAAAGTTTGGCCCAGCTGTCTTGACGTGGAAATTCGATATTTGGAGCCAAACTTCACCATGCTTCTCTTTGGCCTGGCATGAAACAACAGGACACAAGCGCTCGTGACACGGCCCGATTAATATTGTTGGGCAACTATGGTGCAGCGCCTCGTGCAACGCCACTATCAGTTCCAAGGGCGAGGCTGGTGTGAGCCAGAAAAACAATCGTGTTCGGCGACGACTAGGAGAAAAGGGACTTGTTCGCGAGAGCTTCGAAAAAAGTACGGCTAACGGCATGTTCCCAAAATGAAGCGTACCCCAAATCCCCGGAGAGTGCATGTGTCGTCATCGAATTTCCGACAGCTAGTCAAGCATACGGCCTGGTACGTCCGGGTGCGCGGTAGCGGGCATGGCTTCCCTGTAGATTGGCGTAAGGAGCCGGTGCCGCGCTCGTTAGGACGAGCGAGTGTAGCAACGGTCCTCGCGACAAGTATCCCGAGATCCGCGTGCGCCTGCCGGACAGGTTGACGGCCCATATGCGTACGTCTCAGGCCCAAATTGGTTGCAGTTGAGCATTTTGATGAGAGGTGTGACATGGCCATGGTCGTGGTAAGGGGCGCACAGCGAGGCTTGTTGCTGCCAGCTGCGGCGTACAAGCCACTTGACTCTGCGCAAACAAAAAAAACAACGACGACGAAATGCCGCAGCGTCAGGTGCAAGGAGATGCGCAGTAGCTTTGGGCATGAACCGAGATGTAGTCTAGCCCGTGTGGGAAGTTGCCTTGTGCCGATCTACTACGGTTGGTGATCAGGCCGTACGCGGGTCATCACAACCAAGACGATGCCGGTAGATCAGTAGTACGACTTGGAAGATTTGGGCGGCTGGATTCCACCAGCTTCATCCTACAACACGAAGTCGTTGGCGGCTGAGACACTGCGTCACGAGTGTCTGCGTATGTACGTAAGTACGTATAGTTTGACAAAGATTATTTTTGTTAGAGCGTAAAGGGGGGTTTGATCTGCATCGAGGCTAGACCAGAGGATGGATGCACAGGGTGAAAATACTGTACACGACTGTGGAGCACTGCGTAATTCTCACGAAACGTGGACGCACAGACGACGTTCACCCAGGGCAGATGTGAATTGAGGGGACGCAAAAAAAAGTTACAGGTGTTTTGATTGCCAGACGCAGAATTTGCTAATAGCCAGACAGAGTTTCGGACCGGTTTCCAATAACGGGCAGTTCACGGATCGTCTCATTTGCTAGTGACCTCTAGTCCACAGCCGGGCTTCACCTTGTCGGTCTGTCCAACGGCATATCTGCACGCACTCGGGCAAGTTGGCACGTGCCATGGATCGGGGATGGGGGAGCGTGGTCTGGAACGTGGCGGTTAATGATGCTCTCCACCCCTTCATTCCAAGGCATCCCGGCTGTCGTGTTTTGGGATCCGTCGTTTGTAAGAGACCAAGTTGTAGTGGTAACCAGGACGTGTGCATGTTACACATGTAGCAGGACAAGCGCAGCTGCATGCACTCGGGCGGGCCACCATGTCGAGTCTGCACGTCGACAGTTGCGCCAGTGGGTGGCTGCTTTTGCCGTAGACATGTGCTGTAATGTCAAAGTATCTGGACATGGAATACATGCATGGCAGGGTAGGCGAGCAGCCGTATCCCGGAGGCGGAGGCCGAGCAGTGAAAGAGGTTGAGGTCATCGCCCTGGCCCCCCGAACACTTACCGGATGGCCCATGGAACGACTCGGCCCAAGAAACGTGGCACGGCCAATCAGCGTATGGTCGGGGGTTTGCAGTCTGATTAAACCCAACCCTCGACTGCATGGATCAAGCGTTTTTCTCAGCTGGGCTGACGAAGACTATTGCCCCGCCTTGCTTTTGCTAGTTTCCCCTAGCTGTCCCGAAACGCCCAGTCAGGCCCATTTGTATCCAGTACGCCCCGTCGTTCCCGTCCACAAAACAACATCACAACAACAAAAAAGCAAGCCTAATATGCTCCCACAAACATAAACACCGCCCATCACCTGCACACCATCTTGTCGTCGACTCTCCGCCACTACTCACGCTAGGCACCAAGCCAACATGACCACCACTATTGCTCTTCCCTATGACGACTTGCGGCCCCATGTTCTCCGGCCCAAGAAGTCCTTCTTCCAGCGCCTCAACACCCCCGACCACCTCATATCTCGCATGCGCTCCCTCAAGGTCGACGACTCCGCTTCCCTCCTCAGGCTGTCGTCTGATCGTTCACGAGTATCCACTGTATCCCTCCTCTCTACCCCGGACCTTGACCGCGACTACTTCCCCGACCTGACCAAGCACACCGAACTCGAGCGACCAGTCTCCTGTGCTGTCCTTTCGCCCCCAACCTCACCAATGGAAGGAAGCTTCTTTCCCATCCAGCAGTTCCTTGCGCCCATGGACCGGAAAACCAGCAAAGAGTTTGTCCAAGGCATGCAAACCTACGTCCACTGGAAACAGGCTACCTACGAATCAACCATCAACCAAGCCCCATCCACCTCGCCACCTCAAACCCCTCAAAGCTCCTATTCCTGGACCTCGTCAAAGAGCTCCCGCAGCGAAATGTCTGACGAGGAGATGGATGACTGGCTCGACAAGCCCATGGATGCCGATGTCCATCGCTTCCGCAAGCTATCTGCTGCATCTCTCGAGAGCCTGCCCTCGTCCGATGGGTCCGAAATCAAGATTCACGTGATCCAAGAGCAGCCCGACGAAGAAGAAATCGCCGCCCAAGGCAACCGCCGACAGCTTTCCAGCATGTGGCGCGAGACCTGGTGCTGGGAAACCAACAGCCAAAACCGCACTGCCAACGACCAAGGTTACGAAATTGTCCTGCCAACATCCACAGCTGACGACGACTCCTCGGCCAAGTGAGAGCGTCGTCGCAGTTTGGCTCGCGCTAAATTTCCGTGAGCTTTTTTTAACCCACCTGACTTTCTCCGTGAAAGCCACAAACGCGCATCCGCGCCGTCTCAGCTGCATCAAGCCGAATGACGTAGCGCCCGGCGCCGGCGCCACTGCGCCACCTCCCGAGTACCAAACCCAAGGGAATCTTACTCGGGAACCTATTAGACAGAAACACTTGGACTCTAAGTTGCGACACTTGTAAACCAGTTTCACCCAAAAGGAGCGAAGAGACGAAAAAAAGAGAAGATGAGCACAAGACCACCCCAACCCCCCTTGCGTGTCACAAAAAGCTCGTTGCCAGCCACACACATACACAGCCGCAACAGAAGCAAAATGACCAAAGCGCTCGGAGACCAAAGGGGCCAAGAGAGAAAGAGAGATGCGATAGATTTACCACCCACGTCGTTTGTTGGCAGGTTTCAACCAGACGCCGTAGATGAAGGACCCAACCGCACGACGAAGACATCACATAGACCCATATATACCCAACCCCCCACCCCTCATCCCAACACAAGCAGCTCAACAGCGCTTTGAGAAGAATATTTCCTTTGTCAGATACCACCACAATGTCCTTGTTTTTTTTTCGGCAGACTCAGTTGACGTCCCGTTACCTTTGTAAATAAACCTTTTTCCTTTTCTATAACTATAACTATAACTATCCTATTATTCATACTACCTTGACTTTTACTCTCCACCTGTGTATCTTTTGAACGTTTGCCCTTTCGCCGCTTCAATCTCGCGTGCAGCTAGACTGATAGAGAGCTCCTGCGATCACGCCACCATCTCGATTATAAACGAAAAAAAGGAAGAAGAGAGAGAGAGAGAGGCTGACAAGCCCAGGTTTTTTTTTGGAGGATACGGAGTGCGATGTATATTAAAGGCGTGATATCAGAGAAATAGATGATAATAATGAAAAAGGTATAAAACTATAGAGAAAAAGAAAACACCGAAAAAAGGGTTACACGTGACGTGAGATCCCCCTCTTTTGGAACTCGTTCCAAGTGATGATACATATCAAAAAAAAAGCAAACCATTACGCATAATCATAAAGCACCTTCTCAACCCACACACACACAAACATATACACGTTTAAACTCTCTTCGTGAGTAAAGAAAAAAAGAATGTTTCTTCCAAAAACCCTTACACCATATTCCTCCCTTTAAACTGTGCCGCGGGCCTTGAATCCTGAAAGGGCGAGCGAACAGATTCACTCACATCGACCTCCGTCGTCACTGTAATATTGCCCAACTCATGTGCGCCGCCGCGGCCATGCACAGAAGTATGGCGATTCAGTCGTGCAAAGCTCTCTGTGCTACTTCGCGCATCACCCCCGACAGCAGCCGGCGAGCTTCTGCCTGAGGAATTGACGGAGGGTGCGGTGGTGGTGGTGGTGGTGGTATCTTTGGTTGTTTGGTGCGCGTGGGTGGCGTCGATTGTAGTAAGCATGTACGATTTCCCGCCCATCGCATGATGCGCTGCAGGAGCCTCGCCGCCGTCGAAAAAGCCGCGATCCTCCAACTTGGGTGAGCCGAGCGGTCCATAGCTTTTATTCGTAGATCGTTCCTTTGTCCCCGCTGCATACGCATCTGAGAAGTATTTAGGCTGGGTAGTCTTGCCGGAGCCTTTGCCGTAGGTGGAGACGAGGATGGAGCGGAAGAGCGGTTTGAGGCAAGGAAGGTTGCCGGCGACCATGCCGACGTTGCATTCTTGGACTGTCCAGATGGTGAGGTTGCGCGAGTCCCACATTAGGTCGCCCGCGCGCCCGTAGTTGCCGATGTAGGAGAGCTTGATCATTGAAGCGGCCGTGGCGAAGAGGCCGAGGCCAAGGATGCAGATTAGGGAGGCTTTGTGGCGGCGGTTCATTTGAACGCCCCAGAGCATTGGGATCTGCGTGGGGGTGTGGTGTTAGATAGTTGTTACTTTGTGTGTGTGTGGGGGGGGGTGGGGGGGTTGGAGAACGACTTACGGGTATGCCGATAGAGAAGGCAAGATCGGTAATCATGTTCAGAACGGTGTTGAGGTATCCGAGGATCTTGATTTGCGTTACGGTCCAGCATGTGCCTTTTACTGTTAGATCCCACATCATTCGGACATCGCTACATTGCAAGAAGACAGTTAGAACGCAGCCGAATGTGTAGACGCCCATGAATACTAGTGTTGGTTAGTAAAGGTTTGGATGTAGTGCTCAAGGAGAGGCCATGTCAACTCACTCATGATTCCCGTGATGAGACGCCGGAAAAAAGGCCTGACTGCAATTCTCAAGAGGAAGAAGCCCACAGAGATCTTGACAAAACATATGGCGAAGAGATATATCGGTTGCGATATAAAGTTCAACTTCATTGCTTGCGGAAAGTCTTTGGGGTCAATGTATTCGATGTGTCGACCTGCGCCATAGTAGACCTGCGGTATGATTACGCACTGGCCTGCAATACACTTGTTCATCCATCAGCGAGTGTACGAGGAAGGCGTGTGAACAAACATACCAAAACCATTGACAAAATCATCGTGTAGTCCTAAAAGGGCGGAAAGATCAGCAACTGTCGACCCACAGTGTTGTTGAAAACACTCACATCCCACCCCACATTGCGGATCATCCGAATGCGAACATAGAGTCTTGCTATCGTGGTAATCACTGCCAGGATGAAAACTGACAGAGTGGCCCCCAGAATAGTAGGCCCTTGATTCTCGTCTGGCCGTACCGCCGCCATCTCGGCGCGTTGAATCATGGTCAAGGAAACGTATGTGCTGGATTGGGGAACTTGTGAGACCTTAGACCCAGGCGCATGCCATGTTCTTAATTATGAGAGGAACTCCCAAGCCGCCGTGCTAACAAGCGACTGCAGCCAACCGAAACCGACCAGCCCATTGATACAGGGGGCACAAGACTACAGAGTGAAATGTTTTCTGAGACTGGACTCGCAGAACCTTAAAACCGCCACACGGAGGTCGAGGGAACAGGCACCATTTTGTCAGTAATAGCCTGCTTTGATGCGGTAGGTGTACTTAGCCCCAGCTAATAGGAAATCAGTCGCCATCTATTGCAATTGCCACTTACGGGCAGCTGGGAACGGACTTGAAGGGATTTGGGTTAGTCCTGCAGAAAAGAAGGTGTTCATCCAGCAGGACCTGCTTGAGACGGATGCTCGGCGGAGCATCCAGATGCGTTTGATCAGGTACAAGCTACGCATGCACGACATCAACCCCCAGGGTCCATGCGAGCAGCTGGTAAATCGATTCTCGTAGCGATGTCCGAGTGCGGTAAAGGTCGCGATCAACAAGTTGCCAGAAAGGATCGGCACTTGCAACGTTACTCACACGATGTCAAGGAAGGATGCAAGTACTCATCACATGAACTGCAGAGATGCTATTCAAGATCGTAGCAAAAAGAAAAAAAAGAAAACGTTCACGATCTGGTTGTCTTGCCCCGCACAGCAGTTTGAGATGGAGGGAGTGACATATTCCTGGAACAAATTTACACTCTGCAGGTTACTGTGCCACTCTCCACGTGGGTGGTGAAGCCATACAGGATGTCACCGCTGCCGATCGAGCCCGAATCCGCCGCGGGACTGGCAACCAATCCATCGATAAACAGCGAGATTACGAGAGAGGAAGTGTGATGGGCCGTAGTTCAGACTCGGCAATGCATGTATTCGAAACTAGGCATGAGAATCCTCCAGGAGAAATCCTGGATCACCTCACGGTATTGACGCGGTCAATATTCGGCGAGAGTACCCAGGCTAGATGTGAATCAGGATCATTAGATGCGCTGCGGCTTACAGGACGGCATTTGTACCCCGCATCCTGCATGTAATCCCAGTAAGCATGTGTTTACACAAATGTGTATGCTGGCAACCAGACATCAAGTAAATCTGTTCGCACACGTGCTTGTTACCTGCCACAACGGCATGCCGAAAGGAAAGCGAGCCTCTTGCGGGACGGGAGAGGGAGGGAGAGGAAGAAGGCGTCCTCGGAGGGTAGTGAAGTTTGTAACTGTCATAGTACCGGCTAATATCGTGGTGGTTGGCCTGAATATCTCGTGCGAAGGCGGCACGCAGGTTTCAACAAGGCTTGACCAGTGCGCGGTAGCCAATATAAGAAGTTTATCCTTGGGCATGAATGCAAGTCAAGATTATCCAGTAGGACAAGACGTCTTGGTTGCGCCATAAAACGTCTGTGCGCAAGGGAAAGGATGCAGGACGGGGAGCCGGCAGGACGGGACGTACTAGCACTTGGCAGGGTTTAGCCATGCGCCAAATAATAACAGCCAGCGGACATGGCTTCCTTTTTACCATGCGCCACGCATTCGACTCGGTCGACACCAGGCCCAAACTGGTCAATCAAAACCTCGAAGGATCTGTATTCTCGTAAAGACGCTTTTCTGGACCGCACGAAATGCAAGAGCTGGCAAAAAAGACAAGAGTCCGTGTTGGATACGGCAGGCACAGCAAGATTGCCAAGTGACCCGGCGATTGCTGCTGAAGGATGCCAGCTTCACGTGAACGCCTCCAGCAGCTGAGGCAGGGATATGGGCCAGATTGCAAAGATAAGTCAATGCAAGTGTGGTGGACTTGAAGAAGTCCGTAGTCCGCTCTCCAGACGGCAAAACTACATTGTATCGATTTCCCACCCATTACTCGTGCAAACACATGTGTTCAGCGGGAGCGATAGCACCACTGATGGATCCCGCGCCCATCTATCTAAGCGACAATGGGGGGCAATGGGGTGATGGGGCCGCCGGCTTCAGCTGAATCGCCATTGCACGACACCAGGCTTCCTAGCGTTCGTCCAGAACCTCGGGAGCTTCTATCCGATCTCAACAGCCACCTGTTTCCCCAACTACAGGCTTGGAACTATGCTATAATTCGCGGTGGACAGGCTCTTGTAAGGATAGCCCATTGACTTAATCTTAGAGGTAGGATTCTGGCTTCCTAAAATACTCACTACTAGGCCATCCTGCCTGAACTAGAAGAAATGTTATGCCCTAGGGACTTGCTTGTCATTGGTTTACACTGCCACATGGCCTCGACGTAAGCCCTAATGGGCTTCGAAATTGTCCTACGCCGCAGCCTAGCCGCGGTCGAGCATACAATTGGAGTATGGTTGATGTGGCTTTCGGTATCTGTCGCCCCCAACCCCGGCACTTGAGCATTGGACGCCCAAAATTACTAGAGCAACCCTTGAGTGAGACACTGCTTTCTTTTAACTATATATCCTTACAAACATGTCTGCTTCTTTGCTGGTGGCACCGCTTTCCATCACTTTGCTTTTTACCCCTCGCCTTTCTTTGCCTAAGCCTAATTCTCCGTGAGCTGCAGGACAAGATGCGTTTCAACTCTCTAGCGCTCCTCCTTGCTGCTGGAACGGTGTCAAACGCACTACCAGCGCCACAGAATGACCCCTCGCTACCTACTGAAGCCTCGAGTGATCCTGCAGTCGCCAGCCAGCAAATTGACCAGCTTGCTTCTTTCGCCGAAGAGCAGGTCAGGGCTGCGCTAGAAGGCAACAATGCCAAACGGGGCACTTGCAATGCCAACAACGTTGCCATTCGCCGCGAATGGAACGATTTGTCCAAGCAGGAACGCAAGGCCTACACAGATGCAGTCCTGTGTCTGCAAGCAAAGACTGGCAAGACGCCCGCCTCCTTTGCAGCAGGAGTCCGATCCCGATTCGATGACTTTGTCGCAAACCACATTGACCAGACTCTTTTCATCCACTACACTGGTACCTTCCTCGCCTGGCACCGCTACTTCACCTGGCAATACGAGCAAGCCCTCCGCAATGAGTGCGGCTACAAGGGCTACCAACCCTACTGGAACTGGGCCCTGACCGCCCAGAGCGGCCTTGAAAAGTCCGCCATGCTCGACGGCTCAGAGTATTCCATGTCCGGCAACGGCGAGGCCATCCCCAACCAAGGCGAAGTCGTCATCGCCGGCACTGGACCACCTGAAATCCGTCTTCCCCCCGGTACAGGTGGTGGCTGCGTCAAGAGCGGACCCTTCAAGAACATGAGTAAGCAGTCCCTTTTCAACCCCCCTCCCAAACTCACAATTCTTTCAAAGGAAGAAAAAACAAACACATAACTAACAATCTCCAACAGAGGTCAACCTCGGCCCCGCTAACCTCGACCTCACCAACGGCACCACAATCTCCAACGGCGACGGCCGCTCCTACAACCCCCGCTGCCTCAAACGCGACCTAACCGACTACTGCAACAAAAAATGGGCAAACGCAACCTCCATCGCCAGCCTCATCCTCAAAAACAACGACATCTGGAACTTCCAAATGACCATGCAGGGCTGGCCCGGTACTCCCGACCTCGGTGTCCACGGCGGCGGCCACTACAGCATGGGCGGCGACCCGGGCCGCGACTTCTTCGCCTCCCCCGGTGACCCCCTTTTCTACCTGCACCACGCGCAGATTGACCGCGTGTGGTGGATTTGGCAGCAGCTCGACCGCAAGACGCGCTTTGGTGCTACTGGTATTTCCGGAACTGGTACGTTTAGGGATTTTCCGCCTAGCGCGAATACGACGCTTGAGACTGTGATTGATCTGGGGTATGCGGCGAGTCCGCCGAGGAAGATGCAGGAGTTGATGAGTACGACCGAGGGGCCTATGTGCTATATTTATGCTTGAGAGTGAGTATGTGAAGGGAGGTGGGGATTCTTGAAATGGAAAGGATTGATTGTATATATATGTTTCTTCTTTTTAACTAATTGATATCATAATCATGAAAAGGGATGGTGGAGAGAGAGACTTACACTGTGTGAAATAGTTTTTGCCGTGGCTGCTTGTGTAGTAAGCGTCAGCCGGGAGATGTTGACTAAAGTAACTATATTTCGAGTCCAAAAAATTATCACGCCATGCGAATAAGGGGCCTTCATCAAGAAGTAAAATCTCATCCTAATTCCTTTCACATAGCTTAAAATCAGCATTCTTTTTTTTGTTTGATCGCAACTGACATAACCAATGAGATACCAGACAATGGATGATAAACACATGTATGTCATGATGATCAAACGCCGTCAAACGCCTCCCAGAGAAGAAAGCCAGCGTCTGGACATGAATAAATCTCTGTCCAGAACCCAGCCCATACATTACCCCCTCCCTTAATCCGTCCCAAAAAAAACACAACAAAGAAGGCCATCTTCCCAGACTAGAAGATGGAGTTAACAATGTTTCCACCAATGGTAGCACCTGTAAAAAAATGTAAGCGATTAAAAGATGCCATTGACAATTTTGCTTCCAATTGTCGCACCTGCACCAAAGATAGCCGCGTTACCCAGCTTCTTGCCAAACTTCTTGCCCTGCGTCTCCACCTTGCTGGGCTCGGCGGGCGGGGCCTGGGCGCCAGAGGCCACGTCGAGGGGCATGTTGCCGTAGTTGGAGGGAGCCGGGGCGGCGGGCGTGTAAGCGGGCATGACGCTCTTTTCTTCCTTGCGTACGTAGCTGGCGGGGAAGATGCCGTCCATGCCTGTGCGCTCGTTGCGGCCCTTCCACCACTCGTTGTTCATGTACTCGGTGACGGCGATCTTGTCGTTGGGCATGAGAGCCAGGTCGCCGGCGTCCTGGGCGTTGTACTGGTACATGGCCGAGGCGTAGCACAGCACGGGGGGCCCTGCGGGGGCGGCGGGAACAGAGGGGTAGGCTGGTGGTGGCGCGTTGGCAGGCGCGTCGGCGTAGTAGCCAATGTTGGCGGCCTTGTTCTCTGGCGGCGGCGTAGGCTGGCTCTGGATGTTCATCTGCGCGAGTTGTTGAGTCGGCACGGCGGCGGCGGGAAGCATGCGGGTGCTGTTCTCGGCTGAGACGGGCAGCTGGGCAGCAATCGCATCGTGTTGCGCAGAGGTGAGGACATTGGATTCGACGAGAAATTGGAGGTTCTGTCATTGTTTAACAAGAATCAACGCCAGGAGCAGAGTCGGCGCAGACTCACGTTCTTGATGTCGCCCAACGCTCGGTTGATCATGGCATTCTTGAAGCTGTCCGTCATGTTGAAGGTTGGCTGGTTGTAATCCGTGTGTCGCTTTGAATGCGCAAAGAAACAAAATGCCCCTCCACAGTCGGAGCGTGATAAGTGAGGTAGTATGTGTTTGTTGGTTACGGAGAGAGAATGCAAAGTCGAGTGACAGAAGAGTGGCCCAAAGGTGCAGAGTGGAGTTGAATACGAGGATAGGCACACTACTCGGAATGTCTGCGCCGCATTTGGGGCTGTGCTTAATTTGCTTGTGCTGCCTGCGCGGCAGCAGTGGGACGCGATATTTATTTACGGATCGTGACGAAACACGGCGCAATAGAAGCAACGTCCGTACGACCAACTGTGCATGCATTTCTATAGATTGAAGTCGTCGTCGTCGTGTCATTGCTTCTCTTCCACCCAGCCATAGCATTGCCTGCGTATAGACTAAAGTCCCAGGGTCTCCTGCAACTGTGGCTTGAGTCGGTCTTCCGAGTCCTACCCCGCCAAGACCCCCGCCCGTCTCTCGTCCGCGCCCATCGCCCATCCAGTACCCAACTATGACAAGAACACTTGCTTCCACAGCTCCTGTCTCTTATTCTCAAACGCTTCAAACGCCTTGACTGTGAACCCCACTGGAATCTGCTCCTTGCCCTCAATCAGTCCCTTCCACGCCTCGTCGGTAAACTCGCTCAGCGGCATGCCAATGTTCCCTCCATCCTTGATATCCGGCTGATGCTTCGCGTCGTGCAGTTCCGTCTGCACGGCTGGCGGAAAGATTTCAATCACCTTGATGTTTCCAGGCCCATTGGCTAGCTGGTGTCGCAGAGCGAGGATCATGTGATGCAACGCCGCCTTGGAAGCGCAGTAGTTGGGACAACGCGGAAGTGGCATCAGCGCTAATCCAGATGTCGTGTACACAAGTGACGTCTCCTTGCTCTGTCTCTGCAAAAACGGTATGAATGCCGTGGTAAGATGCATGTAAGAGATGTAGTTTGTTCGGAACTCCATTTCCAGCACGTCGAGATCGATCGTCTCGGGCCTGGAAAAGTCGAAGCCGCGCTGGATACCGGAGTTGAGGAACACACAGTCGAGATCCGGGTGCTTGCTTATTACGTCCTTGACAAACTTGGGGATCTCGTCCAGTTTCGTGATGTCCAGCACAAAACTGTCGACCTTGTCGTTGCCGTGCTGATTCTTGAATTCGTCCAACTTGTCTTGTCGCCGACCTACGATAATGACCTGTTTACCATCTTGTACGATCCGTTCCGCCAGTGCCCACCCAATACCCGAAGTCGCGCCAACTACAAGAATCTTGTTGTATTTGAGAGACATTGCTGCAAAGTATGTGTATTTTAGATATGAATGACGAGACCTCGAGCTGGAATCGCCCACGAGTTTATACCAGGTTTGTACCTGGTTATCAAAGACATCATCACAGCGCAACTAGCCAATCTGTATCTCAGTCTAGCCCGGGCTATTCGACCCACCTGACATATCAAGACTCGAAAGCAGCGGACTTACAAAAAAACCCATCGTGCTATGATGTTATTGTTGTAAGTACGTCATGGTGATCGGTCCTTCGGCAGTTGTTCCGATGTACTAAAGAGTACGAGACAAAAAACATTAAAATTACCCAACAGGAGAGATTCCCTAGTAGCTACCTACCTAGCTACTAATTCGCTGGTCGAAAGCTTGAGTACCGCTGAGCAAACGGGAAGCGCTATGATTTCTTTAAAAATATGGTTAGTATTCTTCTATGTAGTTATATATACTAGCTGATACTAACCCCTCCGTCCTGAATATAGACTATTGGTACATTACTGACAACCGCCGAGCGCTCTCAATGGTTACGCGTAATATTAATAGCTGAATAGAGTTGGTGCATTGCTAGATGAGCTGCTATAAGTATGTGAGGAGGCAGTGCGTAAATGCTGTTGTCAAAGTAGCGGTGCTGGCGCTTAACTGATGAACACATGCATCTTCCTTCTAAACTGGCTATCCTGATATATGCTAACCCTCTTCCCCAACCTCCCAATATACTCCGGCAATGTTCTGTCATATGACAAGACAATCACGTAGTAATGATCACGTGATTACATGAATAGCAAGGAACCTACCTTCAGCAGAATCCTAGATGATATAGGGTATATGGTCGCGAGTACGATTAGTTTCTAGTTACTGCATCAGCTTTGTTCTCATCGCATGGTTTTACGCGACAGGGGTCCTTCTATATCCGTTCTAGTGCGTTACAGGGTAAATCATGTAATGTATCTGTTGCACTGTAGATGCAGGATTGTGTGGTAAGAATTATTAGGTACATCGCTTTGTCCGTTGTTTAATCTTTTCGTTTATGTGTGGTGCATAGCTATTGCTTACTCTCGTTTGGAGTATTGGACCGAGCCCTGATGCCGATGTGACAGCAGATGCATACACGCCACTAGCAACCGGGTAGCTCGGCATGAGATTTGGGCGAGATGCAAGCCATCGCACGCACAACAAGGCTTCCTTCCTGCAGGGCGTATGTGCTTGCGTCGGGCCGTAGCGCTTTTTTGTTTTGGGTTCGTGTGTAATCTATACCATTACACTCGAATGAGCCTATCGCTCTGTGACTGCATAGTATGTTATGTGTATATGAAATAACGGAAAAGGATGGATTGATAACTCCTCTTCTGTTGACACCGAGCCGCTTGCTCATGCCTGCGCCAGTACCTATGTGTTCCACTCGGCTCTGTGAGAGTGGCCTCTTGTCAAGGACGTTTTCGTCTATCCTGTAGGCCAACCAATATTCACCTTTGTCCTGCATGCAATGGGACCGTCAATCGAGAGTCTCTCCTTAGGCCAAGTCGATGTCATGGGCAGTGAACACTTTGACGCAAAAAGAGATAGAGTTAGATATGTCTCTAAAACTTCTGGATACACCATGTGGGCTTGTACACGCACTCAAGGGGAATTTGATGCAACGTGGTCCATATCTCTTTTTGCTAAACGTTTTCTTGTCAGTGATTAGAAGCGCATCTCGAGTTCTGTCTCAATCAGACCTATCATATCTGGCTATTATCACGTGTGTATTGACTACAGGAGCAATGTGTACTTAATGTTTTGTGGCTATTGCCGCCTAGTATTGCCTAGAGTGGCGGCCCGCCTCATTTTTCTTTTTCTCAGCTTGAGTTATTTTTGAGCTGGTGTATCTTGCCAAAAGCCGACTTCCTACTAGCAGTGCAAACCCCTCTTCAAATTCGCGTAAGTCTGATGTGTGTCATAAACCACAAGAACTGTTCCTGTGTACATTATGAAAAGCAAAGCAGATCGCAGGCAGGTTGGTATCACTTCGGCGAAGCAGCTCGTTGCAACAAATGCAAGCCCCGCTTCTAATTTATCAAATCCCTGTAGCGAAAAGTCTAAGCCACACAATAACTTAATGCAAGTCGTAGTGGTACCGCATACAGCGACAACGCACAGATACCTAAACGGGCTCCCATCTGGGCAATCTCAATCTTTGCGTTTCCTCTTGCTTCCAAACAATAGTCGGCAGTATCAGTGACTTTCCTTCTCTTCAATCCATCCAACACAATCTTACCAACAAGGGTTACCTTTGCCCATAATCAACACGTGAGTGAAAAAGGTACTTAACAGTTTTCAAGGCAAAACATGTCGACCTCATGGCTGTATTCGGTCCTTCTGACCTTGACCTTTCTCCCCAACACTGCTGCATTCGAATGGGACGACTTCACCAATAACTTGGCAACCGACTTAGTATGTTTCCTGGAAAAAAGCTCAGAATTTGACTATAAGCTGACTGATCCCGGATTAGGGACCTGTCATTGCGCTATTTGGCGAGCAAGTGTCAAAGCAATTTCTAAGCGAATCTCTGACTACATGGGACAACATAATATTTGCAGTAGCGCCATTGGGAATCCTTACGGCTGTGGTTTCAGCAATCCGTGTTTGTGGCAGCCCCTCTCTGCGAGCCTTTATTGGAAGAGCACAAGAAGGTCCTGGGATTGCGGAGGTTGAGCTGCTATCCTGCACATCAGAAACGACATCTGAATTGTGGAACCAAGGTGGAATCGCTCGAGTGTTTGGCAGACCACAAATCCTAGAAGTAGTAAGGACTACGAACAAAGACAAGGAAACGTGCATGAGGCTCTTCGACCAAGCTTGTGGACAACTGAAGGAAGATGCAAGTAAGGAGTCGGCCAGCGGAGAACCATCATGGATTGTTGAACGAGACGAAAAAACTTCCCAGTTTGACACCCGTGGACACCTTAGCCCTAATCTCTCGCTGAACTTTGGAATCAAAAGGCTACGCAAAGCGTTCACCTACGGTGCAGCTATCCTCGGGCTAACGCTGCAGATTGGTGAGTTGACAGATAAAGCAAATGAAACATTACTAATCGTCACAGGAGTCTTGGTCTATGCAGGACTGACTGCTTACCGGTTCCCTCAAAATTTTTTGTTGAACGACAAACCGATAGAGAGATACGCTTTCCCACTGACTTTCTCCGGTACACTATTGGTGTGCTGTGGCATGTTTCTCTGCGCTTACATCATTGAAAATCAGACGGACGAGATATATTATAAGCGGAATCATCAGGTTACAAGCCAGTTATACTGGATACAACCAGGTGGTCAAAAGATTGGCGATCAGGTTTTCGAAGCGTTTGTGGGGAAAAGCGACGACGCTGAGTACATTAGGTCATCGAGAACCGACCGTGATCGCCCATGGGTAGAAATTATCCTATGGACAGCAGTGGTCATGACGACAATTGGTTTTGTAGTCCAATTTATTGGACTCAGAGGGATGCACTCATCTGTCACTGTCGCTCAACTGATTTCTACCTTGATCATGGCAGTTGTAAGAGCAGGCCTTCGAACCCAGCGGATGGACAACAACCGAGATATAATTGCATGTTCCGGCAACGACCTTAACCTAAGAAAAAAGGTTATAGGCCACGAGTTAGATTTCTTAGCGCTACATCTCGAGGACATCAGTGCGATTAGTATCTGTACTCAGAGGTTGGAAAAACGGTCACGAGGTATGTTCTATGATCATAATAGCAAACTACCAAAAAGGTGTCTTAACTTTGTAGGGTCTTCTTTAGATAAGGGAGGACGTGCGTTGAAAACCAGGTTTGACCTTGCTGGTTTGACCAGTGGGATAGGAGACCACTCATGGCACAGTAACCCTGTTAAGCAGATGGCAACGCGGTTACAGTCGGTCATTGATGGTGCCAGGCGAGTTTTGCAACTTCCGTTGCCGCACAGTCCCTCGGATAAGTGCATACCTCTCGAATATACGTGGAAGTCAGAACCCGATGGGAAGGTTTATGACAGTTCCTTCACTCTCAACTTACGTAATAAAAGCTCAATATGGAAGGTAGATGTGCTCCAGCTCGAGGCACTATTGGGAGTATGGGCTTGGTCACTTTGCAACAGCACTGATTCGGGAGACACAGCCAGCGGACATGGGGAAACCGCACGTCTGATCACCTTGGATTCGAGTGGCACACAAGAAGACAATGAGCTCTGGTACAAAATATGGATTCAGAGAGACCTCAGTTTGTGTAGTCAGAGTCATAAGGACACCCAAAAGTTTGGCTTCCAAGACGTAACACCATCACATGAGATGCTGGTGTATTCTCAGAACCAAACATTAATGATGTGCGCCCAAGACATATTTGCCTTATTCCTGGCGGTCAGTCTTGAAAGAGTTGGAAGCCTGAAGGGAGAGACAAGAGAACGCAAAGTTGCGGAAGGCGACTCTTTCCGATTACAGAATGACTGGATTGAAGAGATGGCAGACTGTTTTGCAGATAGTGGAATGGGTACGAAAGAGGATGCTTACATGTGCATTATCCCAGTATTGAAACAAAAACACAAGATGCCTGGAATGAACGAAGGGCTACAATTGGCGGCAAAGAAAGGATGCAAAGAAGAGACTAGGGTGCTGGCGGCAAAAGGCGCGGATGTGAATGCGGAGGATGATGAGGGATCGCGTCCACTACATCTAGCAGTCTTAAGCAAAGAAAAAGACACAGTAGAAATACTTATAGAGAAAGGAGCGAGCATTAACGAAAGTGACAGGAGAGGACAGAGTGCACTACATGTAGCATCCAAAAGAGGGTATCATCAGGTCGTAGAAGTTCTGGTGAAGAAGAGAGCAGATACGGATATAGAAAACAAAGAGGGTTGGAGTGCGCTACACATAGCGGCAGAACAGGGACATAAGAAAGTCGTAGAGGTACTAGTAGTAGCAAAAGCAGATTTGAATAAGAAGAACAAGGAAGAGTGGAGTGCGCTGCATATAGCTGCAGAGAAAGGACACATAGAGGTAGTGAGAATGCTTACTCAGGAAGCGAAGAAATTAACAGGGAAGGGAGCAGATGTCAACATGAAGAATAAAGAAGGACTGACTGCACTGCATTTAGCAGTAGTAGGTGATCACAATAAGACAGTAGCAGCGCTCACAGAGGCAGAAGCGGATGTAAACACTACAGATGGAAGAGGATGGAGCGCCCTACATATAGCAGCGGAGAAAGGCTATGAAGAAGTAATGAAGACATTAGTAAAGAAGGGAGCAGATTTGGACATGAAGAACATGGACCGATGGAGTGCGCCGCACATAGCAGCAGATCAGGGACACGAAGGGGCAGTGGAGGGACTTCTAGAAGAAGCAAAGATTTTGACGGGAAAGAGAGTAGAGATTGATCAGAAGGATAAAGAAGGATGGACCCCCCTGCACCTTGGGGTTATCATGGCTCACAAGAGAATTACAGAGATACTTGTAGAGAGAGGAGCAAATATCTACGCTAAAAACGATCAAGGGTGGATGGCGCTACATTTGGCCGCAGAGCGAGGGCTTGCAGATATAGTAGAGACAATTGTAAGAATGGGAGTGAGTGTTGACGCGACTATGGAGGGAGGATGGACTGCACTGCACTTGGCAGCGGCAAGAGGACATGATAGAGTTGTAGGAGTGCTTATGAAGAAGGACGCAGATATTTCTATAAGAGATACAAGAGGATGGACCCCAATGAAGATAGCAGCAGAGGAAGGCCATGACCACGTGGTGAAGATGCTGCAAGGGGTAGAAGTTGAGGCTAAAAGAGATGAGGGAGTCTCCAGCCAAAACGGCCGATCCAACAGTGGCTTGTCCATGGATGATAGCCACGAGTCATCTCAGCAAGCGAACACCATCACGATTCCCGTGCGGGACTTCCCTAGTAGCAGCGCTGTCTCCAGATTTGGTGCCGAATCTGAGTACGTCGGCCTGGAGACTTCCACAAGTAACACCATCACCATCCCCTGCCACCACATTCGTATTGGCGATATCCTGGTCCTTCGCGGCCGCCCTTGTCAGGTCATTCGCATCACCACATCCTCCCAGACTGGCCAGCACCGCTACCTCGGTGTTGACCTCTTCACCAAGCAGCTCCATGAGGAGTCTAGCTTCATCTCCAACCCTGCCCCCTCTGTCGTTGTCCAGAACATGCTTGGTCCTGTCTTCAAGCAGTACCGTGTTCTCGACATCCGCGAGGACGGTCGCGTCGTCGCCATGACCGAGGGTGGTGATGTCAAGCGAGGTCTCCCTGTTCTCGACCAGGGGGGTCTCTCATCTCGCCTTATTGAATCTTTCGACAGTGGCAAAGGTACTGTTCGCGTCCTCATCGTCAGCGACAATAACCTGGATTTGATCGTTGATTATAAAGTTGTATCTGGAAGGTTGTAGAGGGAAGGTTTGTCGGCTTTAGAAGTAAATTGGTCTAACTGAAGGCTATAGCATGGAGGCGTGATGAGTAAGCACATCGCTACCATTTGCACGAGCTGAATGTGCTGGATATTGAACGTTGTGTTTGGTATATTCCAAAGTTCAATATCCAAGCCACAGCACTTGGTCAAATTCATCAGTACATGAACTACAAGCTAAAGAATTCCTGCCATCACAGACCACAATCGTCTAATTTACCACTAATAACATGAGGATTTAACAGTTATCCCGCTCCAGTATATTTTATTCGACAGAGTCGTCGAATGACATAGCTTCTCAATAACGTACACTGCGACGACCACTAAAACGGCTAGGGCATACTCAAAAGTAGTGTTTATGAAGATCTAGGTAGGTTAATGCAGTGTTACCTCGCTAAGAAGAACGTTGGATGATCCAACATGCCCATATCTGCTGATACGGTAATGTCCAATAACTTTTTAGAGATTGCCTGCCCAGCAGTATTTATGATCCTCTGGTACGTAGAAACACATCTCTTGTAATGATGCATACGACCGCTAATTGAGGCTATCGTCATTACGTAAGAAGGACCCAGTGATATCAAACAATCTTTCGATAAACCGTACGATGGGTATTCTTCAGCTCGTAACAAGGGCCAGGTGATGCCGAATAATCTTTCGATGAACCGTACGACTGTCGCATCAGCGCGCCAGATGTCTGGATTACCTAAAAGTCCTCTGAGCTGTGTGGATTGGCATACAGATGAAACTACGCTTTCGCTTTGCCGTTTCAAATAGCTTCCATTGCTTTTGCAATGTTTAACACTGCGCTGCGTAATCTAGACATATAGAATGCCTGATTCTGCCTACCATATTACAATGCCTTTTGCGTTCTTGCTTCAGTTCGACCTATCTCCTCTTATATGCTATTCTTTGAAGGTGCAGGGGACGCTTTGCTGTGTTCAGCTAAGAGATATTTCCGATGTTACTCCGCAAGTAGCTGAAGTCATATGTATTCGCATAGGAAACACGATTCTGGCTATGAGAATCATGTTCCCCAGACACCTCAGTCTTAGTACTTGAAAATATAAACGGCTCAAGGCTATCAGATCTTCAGCAGCAAGGGCCTATTGCACAAATTATATTAGATCTCGTTCGGTACAGTAAATTGAAGTTTTATGTTTCAACTTTGTGTGTGGGGATCTACATATTTGAGAACAACGATTTTGTTCCATAATAAGCCGAGCTGAGCACTGCATTCGATTAGCTTGGTCTATTGCACGTTAGTCAGATATCGTTAGCTCGCATCCCTCGTAGCTAAGTACTGCCTTACTCACGCATCTAGTTTCCACATTGCTGAGTGGCACAAACGGCGCTGTAAGAAAATAACGTATCTGCCGTTTATGGTGTTCTCGCACAAGCTACCGAGACGAGAGAGATAACGCTAGTAGGAGAAGAAGCACGAAGTCCATTCTTATTCAGGACCAAACAATCGTTGATCTACATCGCCGAACTGGGCTCTTTGTAGCCATATCTCCGGTGCCCAGCCTGCTTCGGCTACATTGCGAGTGCGATTGATTATAAAAACCACAGATTAGGCAAGAATGTGTTCTGGACGTTATGGGCCCCGCCCTCGGACTTTCTCGTTCAACGCTACTACACTACTGGCACCGCCTCAACGATGTATGGAAGACCTCCATTGGCAATTGGTTGGGGCGAGTGAATCGACACGTTTCCAAGAACCACGGCAATGCAGATCTGGTAAGAGAGATGTCGTTCACGGACAAATATCACCGCTGGACTCTCGACCCTCGACGATGCGATCGTCGGCTCAACCCATAAGCTTCTTTCTAAGTGGACCCGTTCAATTAAGGGTCGCGCCAAGCGAAAAGAAACCCAATATGTACTGTGTAGTACGTATGCACGCATCTCTCTCAGTGTATGATTCTTACGCACAGCCGTATCGGCCCTTCTTGTGGATGAAGGTTGCCGAACATCCCCCCGTCAACCTAAAGACCAAGAACCATGGCCCTTGGTCTCAAAAGAGTTAGCTTCGCTCCGATCTGGGATGGATATCAATAGGGATTATAAATCAGGTATACTCTAGATCACCGTGCTAGGATCATTCTCCATGAACATGACACTCTATATGCTGCATACGCAGAGACATTCATACTGACATATTATGCGAAGAGTGCTTGACTTATGACAAGAGTTCACTTGGAGGGCAAAGCGCATATTGTGACAGATGTTTGGGCCCAGCCAAGACTCGTTTAACTAACATTACGTGCATCGCAGGTACCTCATCTGCCATTGGTTAACACTAGTACTAGTGAGATGAAATCCTCATTTCTGATTCGTCAGATGAACACGTGGGAAAACTGCCGAAGTAGACTGTTCCTATTGTGTACATGTACTGTGTAATAGTAAGATGGATTAAGGTGGTTAGCGAATCGCGGATACCGCAACGGCGGATATGCTGCCTCCCGACTGACCAGGTCACGGACGGTGATTGGCACAAAGGCGGGCGTTCTTCGGTATATCCCCATGCACGCGTGTAGTTGAGCAGGGAAGTAGTCGCAATAATTTCGTACAGAGCCCAGGGTGCCTTAAAAGATAAGCCGGATGCCTTTGCCGGCAAGTCAGGTATTGGACACTTTTCCTGTTCAACCCCTTTTCAAAGATAAAATGATTCGCTGTTGATGAGGATGCGATTCATGGTTGGATGAATGTAGCAGGAGACATTGTTGCCGAACTTATTGTTGTTCGACTCGGGCCGCCCCCACATTCATCCGATATCACGCAAGCCACAAGGACTTAGACCGAAGTCTGGGCTTTGAGCGAAAAAAACAACAACGGCAAGGTCTTTATAGTTCGGCCTAGCCCCATGGAATGAAGAGCCGTAGGGGTGTTAGGCTACATGCTTACGAAAGGCATAAAAGCTAGAGTTGCAAGGCATTGGCAAATGGCGACTCAGCGTCGCCCACCATCTCTTTCAACAGCTGAAACCCATCTACGACTGGCGACATGTTCGAGGCAAAACAAGCAGCAATAATGTGCTGAAGTGACATTATATTAGTGCTCGCAACGAGTGATAGTTCGGGGGTGGAACAGACTCGTGCCAAGTCACTAAGGTACATGCTAAGGCGCCTCATCTGACAAGTAGACCATGCATGTACGCCTCGTATCGCTGAGAAATCGACAAGGATTAGACAGCGGAAGCTGGTAAGCTGCCAAGTACTTGCAGCCCCTTGGAATCTCAATCTCACAAATGGAACATGGGGTGAACAGGGATGCCCATGGAGGTCTGCCTCTAGTCATATGTCAATCTATTTGTGGGACGCGGTTTTGGCCCCACACGAACAAAACCCTTTCCTATGTAATTGTAGCGAAAGGCTACCTGGTTTGTTCTGTTTGATTGATCTCTTGCTCTTGCGGTCGATTCCAAGCTCGTCACGAGTATTCCATGTTACAACATCTCGTCAGTCAGCCGACCTGACCACTTCGGCAAATAGGTACTGGTTATGAAGCCTCATGGGATCCTGAAATATGTTTGCGTTGTCTTCGTATTGCTCGTTTGGACAGTGTCGTGTCAACAGCAGATGCCAGCATGCGCAGTAAGTGACATCTTTGTCTATCTGAGTAGCCGCCAAGTACTAAATCGGGACAAAGACGGAATGCTACGAATCGAGTATCACCACACAGACTACCTGCACGCCAGCAGATGTAACCTGCATATGCGCAGACCAGAAATACCTCGATACTACCAATAAATGCATCAAGTCATCATGCACTGTCAGAGAAGCTTTGGGTTTGTTCAAGGAAACCCCACCGCCCACTCCAACAACACACTAACAAAACCCACAGTTGCCCAAAACACCACAGCAACCATTTGCGACCGCCCCATCCGTGACAGAACATACATCTCCCCAATCATAACTGGGGTCTCTGGCGGCGCCGCGCTATTCTCCGTCGCAGCGCGGTGCTATATCGTAGGCAAAGGCTTTGCTATCGATGACTTTTTCGCCGTGCTCGCCTTCATCAGCGCCATTCCACTAGGCGTAATGCAATTCTTGAGTTTAGATGCCGGCAACGGAAGAGACACATGGACCGTCACTCCCGAGAACATTACTCTAATCATGAAAGTATGTGAAGCTCAGTTTTGTTTCCTCAAAACCCTCTTTGCCCTACTAAAGGGGGCGCCCAAAGATGGACAAGAATTGAGGAGGAAAACGTTAAATACTGGTAGCTGACATGTCAAGTATACATGGATAGCCGAGATATCGTACTCGGTCGCGCTCCCCCTGACGAAAATGTCGTTTGTCGCCTGCTGCCTCCGTATCTTTCCCAGTACCGAGTTTCGCCGGCGCGCCTACGTCGTAATGGCGCTGTGCGTGGCCTACGGCATCATCTTCACCGCTGTCACCTTCTTCAACTGCACGCCCATCGACTACATATGGACGAACTGGGACGGCCAACACAAAGGGACCTGCATCAACTTCCACATCTTCGCCGCCTCGGCCGCAGCCGTCAACATCGTGATTGAGATTCTAGTGCTCGCACTCCCGATTCCCGAGTTACTGAAGCTAGCAATGAGTTTGCGGAATAAGCTTTACATCATTGCCATGTTTAGTGTTGGCGTTTTGTTAGTCCCTTTCTTCCCCTCTCCAGTATACCTATGCGTAAGTCGGAGATGGCTAATAAGAGCAAAATAGTACACTAATCGTCGCCATTCTCCGCCTGCAATCCCTCGTCATCTTCAAAAAATCCTCAAACCCAACCTGGGACTACGTCCCTACCGCCTACTGGTCCACCCTCGAAGCCTTCGTCGGCGTCTTCTGCGTTTGCATGCCTGCCCTCCGCCGCTTCCTCAACCTCATCTTCCCCCGCTGCTTTGCCTCAACACAGCAGAACTCGCGGTATAATTTGTACGAGGACGGGCCTGCGCTGCCGAATCGCGTCTCGCAGGGTCCGCCGAGGGACTCGAAACCTATCAGTCTGGCGTCTGGTGGGAGGTTTGGGCTGGAGACGGAGGTGTACACGACGATTGTGGAGACGCCGGCGGAAAGTAGGGAAAATTTGAAGGAGGAGGATGAGAGGGTTATGCTGGCTGATATGGGGAGTACAAGGGCGGAGGGGAAGATGGTATGACGGTTAAGAAAAAGCCAGTGATATGGATTATGTGTATGACATGCAAAAGCTGTATATTTTGGACCTTATACCTTGATTTTTTACGAATTATATTTCGACTCGGTCTACGGAAGTTTCGTTCATGTGTTTTTTCTTACAAGAAGGTTGACGTCATTGTAATGGTTTCGCGGATGGATCCAGGTTAAACAGGTGGGAGAAAGTCTAGGCTGGCTGTGCAAAACTTCCAACGTGTTGCGATCCAATCAATACTCATACGACCACTATCCACCCCTACACCGCTACCTTTTCTCCCATCCCCGATTCCAAGCGATGACGTAGGACCGGTCAAGGCCATGTGGGAGAGTGGATTGGTTGGCTGAGCCACCATGCTGCAGCGAAGCTGCATAGAAGGAGGCGAAATCAGAAGCGCGCTTGCCTGATTGAGCCAACACACGTACTAACTGTATTTGGCCGAGGGTGTATGGTCGGGACACATTCTTGGCATGATTTGGATTACATATCCAAAGCAATTGAAGGGGGATAAAAGGGAGGGCTAGAGCCTCTTTCCACCAAATCTTCTTTCAACAACGGCGGAATTTGGTATACCAGGTAGCGATATATAAGAATCGTGGATAGACAAGCAGATATAATGGCTGTTATTGAGGCAAACAGTCGCTATGGTTGGAACGGATGCCTGCAGTTTGTCAAGAGAGTTGCACGTGCGATCTGCAGAGCAGTGAAGAAGATGGTTCGTAACTATATGTTACTTATGAATATTTGGACAATACTTTCAATTGCCAAAGCGTACACCCCAGAGAGTCTAGGTACGATACAAGGATGGGTAGTTTATTCTGTCATGGTTCTGTGCTTTGTTGTACTCGCACTTGTAGAGTTCAGTTATGGAGGACCCCCCTCTGGAAATAATCAAGGTATTTTTCACTTTGCATAGTGCAAGGATAGTACTAATGGGCACATGAAGTAGATGACATTGAACACGGAGCGCTGGCTGTGTAGCTTGCGCCGGATCGAATAGAATAAGAACATCTAGAGTAGACACGGCTGCCTACAGAACTAGATGTGGGTGTCGCATTAGCAAGAGCTCTTGGGAACCCTTTAGCAAATGGAGTTGTGGTGGTGTTGTGATTTTGGGTAATAGACATCTTAGATTGATATGCAGTTCTCATAGTCTTATAGTTTTCAATTAAACACCAATTTCTTGTGTTCGGTCTACAATACGCTTACCCAATGAAACCTACCATATGTGTAATGTACAAGTTCGGCGAAAAGCAGACCAAACTTCGTGAGAGGCCGTTCTGTATGATCAGGTAAAGAGGAAACCAAACGCCGCGCTATGCAAAATCAAACAGTCTACTTTCTCATGCCAGAGAAATCCTTCAGAATACCAATCATGTGCGTATTTGTCTGCTTGCCACCACGGCGAGGACCCTTCTTCTTTTTTGTCGTCGGGGCAGCAACAATGACCTTTGCCTGGGTAGCGGCCGTCATCTTGTTGGCCAAAAGCACCTTGCGCAGTTCCTCTGGGTTGTCGGGGACCTGGACCGAATGCCACGTCTTTGCAAATACCGGGTCCATGGGCAGCATGAGAGAAGGGTCATTGGCCCAGACCGTCTTGGGAACACCGTCCTTGGCTCGTCGCACCAACACCTCGTTCTTCTCCTCCATCTTGGTAATGTCTTCGGCCACATTGGACCAGCCGTCCTTCAAGTCCTTGATCTGCAAGCCCAAGGCCGACTTCTGCGTCTGGAAGTGGCCCTTGAGCTGGGCCCGGTTGTGAATATCCAGCTTGCTCTTGTACTTGTACCTCTCGTTCTATATGCAAAGATGCAAGGTCAGTATCAACAGAAGACATTATGTCCACATGCACTACGAACCTGCGAGTCCCATGAAATCCTGTTGCCTTGGTTGTCGGCACGCATTAGCTGGCGCAGCTGCTGGCGCTGAATGTGACCAGGCGGGATGTTGAGGTACTCCATAATATCTTCGAAACTGTGCCACTTGTCCTTGCGCTCGCGTAGAAAATCGTTGACATAGGTGAGGCGGGTGAAGACGTGCTCGCCGGTGCCTGTGTCCTGCGGCTGCGAGTAGACGACTGGAGGCGCGCCATCAGCAGGACGCTTGCGCTTGGAGCCACTTGCAGAAGAGGTTGATGGCGTCGGCGAGGGCGCATTGGCTGCAGATGACGAGTTCGCTTTAAGGAAAGACATGGCTGTAGAAGGGCGACACGGGTAGATGAAGGTTGATGGATGGAAAAGGCGAAGGGTTGGTTGACAGGTCAGTGGCGTGAATGAGGGCTGAGTGTGCAGCGTCTAGCTAAAGAGTCGCACAGCGATTAGGGCAGAGTCGAAGGTGTATTGAAGTGAGCGTGGGCGTGTATGTGGGTGCGAGTGGGTGCAAGGCGAAGGTAAAGGTGAAGGCCTAGGCAGCGGAGACAAAGGAAGACAAGGGCATGAGCGCACGCAGCACTAGCCCCTGGCCCATGCGCCGCCTTGTCGTCAAAGCACTGCTGGCTCGCGACTTTGGAGAACAAGGCGCTGTTTCTTGTTCGCGTCAAACATCCCCATCGCCGTCTCTCGTTTGTCTGCAGTTCTTGTCCACCACCCTAGGACTGCTGTCGATAATGCGCCGAGACGTGCAATAAACCACAACATACACCATGGCGGCCACAACATTCGACGTTGGCTACCTGGCCGCGTCGTATTCCGTCCCCGAGACGACGCTGCAGTCGCTCATATCTGAACCCACCGTAGAGCTTGTCCAAACATTGCTCACTCAGATCGAAGCCAAGGCGCGCGCCTATGATGACCTCCAGTCGGAGAAGATCCGCATTGATGTCGAACTTGAGGCCGCTGTACAGGCCGGCGAGCAACGCGCGCGAAGCTTGAAGGCCATAGCAGAGAAGGCCCAGAAAGAGGCTGATGAGCTGAAGGAGAAGCTCGCCCATGAAGGTATGATGTTTTACAGCCAGTTCGGCGTCACCTCCGCTGACATTGTGTGTGCAGAACATGCGAGACAAGAGGCAGAGACGGCGCTGCACAACCTGCAGGCCGCAACCAGCAGCTCCTCGTCCGAGACACAGGCGCTGGAATCGCGCATCAAGACACTCGAGGCCCATAACCGCGATGCAATGGCCATGCACGAAGCTAAGACGGCTGCACACGACCGCCTGGCCAAGGAGCTGTCTGAGCTGCACGAGAAGTGGTTAGAGCTGCGCAAACAGGCGTCTGCCCTGGAGCAGAAGAACCAGTCGCTCGAGAGCGATGCCACCAACGTCAAGTTCCGCGAGGCCAACCTGCAGCAGGAGATTGAGCAGCTGCGGAGCAACAACGACTGGTATACCACTGAACTCAAGACCCGCTCCGACGACCACAGCAAGTACCGCAAGGAGAAGAACGCCCAAATCGCCCAGCTTCAGCGCGACATTGCCGATGCCTCCGAGACGATCGATACCCTACGCCGCGCCGAGACCCTCCTCCGACAGCACATTGACGAACTCAAGAACAAGGCCGAGGAGGACCGCCTGCGCATCGAGGAACTTGAGAATGCCGCATCGACAGCCGAGGCCAACTTCCGCATCGAACTCGACGGCGCCCGACGACTGGCGGCTTTGCACCAGCAGAACAATGAGATGACCAAAAAGCGCCTGGAGCAACTGCAGGCTGACAGCGAACGCATCCAGGAAGATGCTGCTAACGAGATTGGCCAGCTACAGGCCGATGTTGAGCTCGAACGCAATAGGGCTGCTGAAGCCGAAGCCCGCACGGCCGAGCTGGAGACGCTTGTCGAGACTCTCAAGAGTGACAACTCTGACCTTCGAAGCTCGGTTCGCGTCCCTGCAACGCCTCGTCATGGTATGAGCATGAACGGAGGCTTCAGCACGCCGGGCAGGGCTGCATCACCCGCCGTTTTCTCTCCTGGCGGTTCCCAACTCCGAGCTGACGCTTCCAAGACCCAGTTGCTGATTGAAAACAACGATCTCAAGAAGGAGCTCCGTAAAGTCCGGGAAAAGCACGAGGAGCAGAGCAGCATTCTCAACGAGATGCTTCAAGAACTCGAACGACGGCAGCCTGAGTTCGATGAGCTTCGTCGTCAAAACGACGCACTCATCGAGCAGAACAACGACATTTCTACTCTTCTTGAAGAGGCCATCGCCGAGCGCGAGGCAGCTCAACGGGACTCTCGCAAGGCACTGGGTGATCTTGAGGGTGTCCAGAACGAGTGCGCGCTACTTCAGCGTCAAGTTCAGGACACGACGATCCAGTTGCGCTCGCTTCTATGGCGACGTGAAGCCGAAGAGAACGGCATCGCCAGCCTCCCCGAAGATCAGCAAAAGTTTATCCTCGAGACCGTTAACAAGAACGAATTACCGGACGACCTATTGCCTGACGATTCGCCGACACACAACATGATCACCAAGCATCTTGTGCTGTATAAGAACGTAGTCGAGATTCAACAACAGAATGCCGAACTTTTACGTACCATTCGACAAGTAGGTGACGAACAGGAGAAGCAAGAAGCTCGCATGGCTTCCGAACAGTACCAAAAGGACATTGAGGAGCTTGGTCGCCTACGCTCCGTGGTCGCCGAGAAGGAGGAAGAGATCAAATCTCTCCATGTACGCTCACAGACTCTGAAGACAGAGCGCGACATGTACAGTCGCATCGTGAGTGGTCGTGGCCAGTTGCCTTCTCACTCACAGTCAACCTCTATCTTCGCACAGTCGGTACCAGCGACAGGAGGCTTCTTGCAGCTCGAGAACGGCTCTCAGTCTCGTGAGATTCCGGAATACAGCAAGCTTATCAAGGATCTCCAATCTCATATTGACTTGCTGAAGGAGGAGAGTGCTACCGACCGTGCCACACTTAAGTCACAAGTCGATACATTGACCAAGGATAACTCCCAGCTTCAGAGTGAGAAGCTCCGATTCGAGTCACAAGTGCGACGTGAGCAGGACAGGTATGCTCGTCTCGAGGGTAGCATCAAGCTGCTCCAATCAGAGAAGGACTCCCTCCAGGAGCGCTACAACAAGGTCCAGGCGACCATGGCCCAGCAGGATGATAGGCTTGTCAAGGCTACTCAAAATGCGGCCGAGGCTGAAGCCCGTCTCCAGAGCCTACAGGGTGAGATGGTTCAGCTCAAGGCATCCCAGCAGATGTCTGCAACAATCGAAGCGCGCCTCAAGGAGAGGAACCAAGAATTGGTTACCGAACGTGACCGCCTGAGCAACATGGTTTCCTCGATTCAAAGTTTGCGTAATGAAGCTGAATTGGCCACTGCCGAAAGCCGACGCGAACTTCAAAACACAGTCGACAAGCTTCGAGCTGACCTGCAGACTGCCGAACGCAAACTGGAGGATGAGATTGCGGAGCACAAAAAGGTTATCCAAATGCGGGACTACGAGCGCACCGAAGCACAGCGAAGGATTGACGATCTTATCGCCGCTCGCAACAGTGCTGAACTCAAGTCTGCGACTGCCGACTCGACTCGTCAACAACTCGAGCAGCGTGTCAAGGATCTCCAAAACCAACTTCAACTGGCTGAAGAGCGTGTGCAGGCTCTCCAACCACGATCTGCTTCGCAGACCAACGGCTCAAACGAAGAGGAATCAGTCAATCGTGAAGAAGAGCTTACTGCAGAAGTTGCAGAACTCAAACGCAAGATTGAACGCAAGGAGGAAGACCTGGAAGCTGTCACTGCTCAAATTGCCGGTTTCCAGGAGATTGCACAAGATGCAGAAAACCGACTGCAGAACTTTGTAGAGGCCCATGAGAAACTCCAAGAGCAGATCAACTTGGCACAGCAGGAGAAGGATGCTATCATTAGCGATTTGCAGCAGCGCGTTGAAGATATCTCTTCTGAGCTTGCCACTAGCAGCACCGAGCTTACGCAACTCCGAGGACAGCACGAGCAGGATACTTTGGTACTCCGACAAGAGAAGGAAGCACTCGAGTCAGAGATCACAAGACTCAAGAACGATGTTGCCGATTACAAGGCTGAGGCTGAAAACCAGATGCAGTATGTCAAGACACAGGCCGATATCGCCGAGCGCGCCCAAAAGGACTACGAGCACGAATTCCAGAAGCACGCTGAAAGCATGGAGAGACTACGTGAACTACGGGAACAGCACAACCAACTACAGACCGAGATTACGGAGTTCAAGACTCAAGCTGAAGCGGCACGTACGACATTGGAGCAGAGCCAAGAGCACTGGAAGTCGACGGAAGCGCGATATGAAGAGCAGATTGCAGAAGCCAAACGTCGTCACGACGACCTGAAGCAGTACAACCAAACATTGCTCAAGCAGTTCGACGAATATAAGGAGCAGATCAACAGCTTGAAGAACGAACGTGGTGCTGTGGCAGCAGCCGGCGATGTGGGCACTACCGAATCAGGCTCAAGCAATCTTCAGGATATCGAAACCTATCTCCGCCGCGAGAAGGAGATTCTAGAAGTACAACTGAACCTCAAGGTCCAGGAATCGAAGCGACTGGAGCAACAACTGACCCACGCCCAAACTCAACTCGACCAGACTCGGGAAAAGCTGCTGGAAGAACAAGCCAAGGCTTCTGGTTCACAGAGCAACTCCAGTCTCGCCCACCTTAACAAAAACCTTGAGGAGCTCAATGTCTACCGCGAAAGCAACGCGACGCTGCGAAGCGAGAATACTCGTTTGCAGAATTCGCTTGCTGAAAAGGCTAAGGCATTGGAGGCTCTTCAAAGTGAGCTTGAACCACTGCAGGTTCGTGTTTCCGAACTCGAAGGAGAGCTCGAGCTCAAGGCCGGTCACCTCAAGGCTGTTGAAGAAGATCGTGATCGTTGGCAGAAGCGCCACCAGGACGTACTCCAACGATACGACCGCATCGATCCCAAGGAACTTGAGGATCTCAAGAAACAGATCGAGGACCACAAAGCTGAGCGTGATCAGGCATTGCAGCAAGCCTCTGGACTTAACGAGCAGATTACCGATCTCACTGCTAAACTAGAGAAGGCAGTGAGTGAAAAGGACGCCGAAGTCAAGTTCGCAAGGGACAGGTTCCAGAAGATCCATAACGAGCGCATGGGCAAGAAGAACGAGGAGATGAAGGCTATTGCTGCCGAGCGAGACGAAGCTCAGAAGTCAGTTGAGAACTTGAAGCAAGAACTTGAGACTCTCAAGCAACAGCTCGCCAGTGCACAGACAGCAGGTACGGATGCTGGTCAAGCACAAGAGCGGATAGCAACACTGGAGAAAGAGCTGGAGCAAGCACGCGCGCAACTCGGAGCTGTCCAGCAAGAGCTCGAGGCAGTCAAGGCAGCTCGCGACGAAGCCATCGCTCAAGCAAACGCATCCTTACAGTCAATTGGAAACGCAGATGCGGGCGAAGAAGGCCAGGTCAGTGAAGGGGATTCTACCGCTTTGGCACAACAAATCTCGACACTGCAAAAGCAACTCGAGGAAGCTCAACACAAGGCTGCCGAAGCTGAGAGCAGCCGATCTGCTGCCACTGACCAGTTGTCTCACCTGCAAGCCCAATTGTCAGCCCAGATCGACAGCCTTGAGAGGCTCCAGAAGGAAACCGTGAGTTGCCCTGATTTATATAGCAAAGACCCAATACTGACGTTTCTACAGGCTGAGAAGAGCACAACCATTGATGAGCTTCGCCAGCAGTTCTCGCAAGCACAAGCACAAGCTCAACCTCAAGACCCACAAACTGCACCAACTACAGTACCAACTGAGCCTAGTGATGATTCCGCTTCGCGTGCGGAGATCGAAAAACTTAAGGAAGAGCTTGCCGCGAAGGTGCAAGAGATTGATGATCTCAAGGCACAGCTCGCTACCGCGCAATCCAACGAGCGTTCTTCTGCGGCTAATGCCAATGCGGAAACTTCTCAAGATAGCGACGAGATTGCTGCAATCAAGGCCTCGCTTGACCAGCGTGAAGCCCAACTTAAGGAACTTGAGGCCTCACTCAATGGTCGTGAAGGCGTCATTGCTAAGAAGGAGGGTAACCTCGAGAATCTGAGGAAGAAGGCCAACGAGCGCGTCTCAGCAATCAGAGCAGAGACTGACGCAGAGCTTGCCAGATTGAAGGGCGCTCATGAGGCCGAACTCGAACGACTTCAGCAAGAGAAACAGATGGCCACTCCTAAGGAGACTGCCGAGGCATCAACAGAGCCTTTGCCTGAAGGCATGATTCATACAGAGGATCTCCCAAGACCCAGAGTGACGGACAGCCAGCTTGCTCAATGGTTCAGAACTAACACTGGGGCACTCAGAGTTGTCAAGGCGCAAATTCAAAACAACCTCAAAAAGGCAACGACTTCTAGAGACGAGACGATTGCTAAGCTGCGTCAAGAGATTGAACAAATCAACACGCAAAAGGCTATCGACGGCATCACAGGTGTGAAGCAGGAGCCAGAGCAGGCGAAGCAAGCTGCCTCGAGCGAAGATGTCAACGCAATCAACGCTGCCTGGGAAGAGAAGCTCAAGGTGAAGCTGCAGGAGAAGGAGACAAGCATGAACAAGACGTACGAGATGAAGTCGAGAGTCAAAGACTCGCAGCTCATGCTCGTACGAGCCAGGTTCAGCTACGTCGAGACGGCTGCAAAGGAAACACCAACCGAGGAGGTTGCAAAGGTTTATGCGATTGCAATGACCCAAAAGCCCAAGCCTGACAATAAGGCTGGCGCACAACCAGCTACTCCTGCGAAGCCAAACCTCACACAAGCTCAGCTTCCAAACCAGGCACCAAATTCATCAACGCCATCACAGGCCGGTGCGACGCCGGTGCAGCAACAGCAGGCAGCACCGTCGGTGAATAACACTCCTCAAGCCAATGGGGCTGACAACAACTCTGGATTTCAAGTACCTCACCAATCGAACCCATTCCTTCAGTCTGTCGGCCAAGGTAACGCTACCAACCCGTTCATGCAAGGCGCAAACCAAATGGGTCGGGGTCTGCCTCAACCAGGCTTTGTAGCACAAAATCAAGGTCAACAGCAACAGGGTCGCGGTCGTGGTGATGGCGTGGGAACCGGTCCACAAGCCATCCGCGGTGCCCTTCAATCGAACATTCCCCGTGGTGGCGGCACAGGCATCCCGCTACCTGGCGGCCGTGGACGAGGCCAGCAGATGAACCAACAGCAGCCGCAAACCCAACTCCCAACCCAAGCTGCAGGTGCAGGTGCTTCACAGATTGGTCGTGGTGGCGGTCGAGGCGGTGGTCGTGGCCGCGGCAATGCCGGCCAGCAGAACCAGAATCAAGCCTCACCAGGCCGAGGACTCAACCCCGGAGCTGCTGGCTTCCAACCTGCTGGTCAGGCTGCCCAGGCCGGCCGTGGCCAGAAGCGGAATGCAGAAGATGATAGCGAAGGCGCTACACGTGGTGGAAAGAGAGCGCGAGGTGGACGTGGTGGAGCTGGCGGTGGAGCACCAGCTGCTGCAGAGTAGAGTAGCATCATTTGCTGCCTTATCAAGTGTACGTATATGAAGATTTAATGGGGGCGTAGGACGTACGACGCATCAACTGTCGTTTTCTTTTCCTTTTGTTTCACTGATTGTCATTTCTTCGTCCTTCATCTTCAGGACAGTTAATGCTTTTGTCCATTTGCAGAGTAGCAAGGAAAGAAATGTGTATGTATACGGGGTATTTCCCGAATGAGAAAGAAGACGGGGGGGGGGGTTCTAAAATGAAAGCATAGCATAGTTGCAATGTCGTATGTGTATTACTATATGGTTAGCATATTTAACGGGCGTATACAAGGACATGTTTGATTCATATAACCATATCGCTCTATCTATATAGCCAAGTGGTGTGTACACAACGACAAAACTTAATAAACAACCTGTCCCTTCTTCAACGTCGTAACGCTATCCTCGGTGCCAAACCCGGCCCTATTCATGCCCTTGGCCGCAACCTCATCCTCTGGCTCTAGGACCCCAAACCGCAGCCTCGCCTTGAGAATCTTCTCGTCCATGGGCGTAGCCCCCAGCGAATGACCCCATGTAAGCCGATCGAGATACCTACTCCGCGTGGCTGCCATAACCGCCGAAAAAGAATTATCATGACACACGCCATTCACCCACAGGGCTCTGAGCCCCAGGAGCACCGCGGCAAACGAACACGCAATCGCAGTCCCATACGCGACCCACAGATTCCGCGGTGTATACTCATACACACTGTAAAAATTAAAATACCGAACCGGCACCTCTGCCTTCTTCGCCTCGTCCGTTTCCCACAGTCTCTCATTACTGAAGAGACTGAGCGTCTGGTTCCGCGAGAGCTCTTCGACTATAGCCGCGAGAGTCGTGTTCGTACGCTGCGACATCCAGGCTTCCTGCGGCACGGTATTGCGTAGCTCGGGGAAGTTCTGCTGGAGAAGCTCGAGAAGCGCGGTGTCGGGTATCATTGATTTGCCAGAAAAGTAACCGCCTCCTGCGCCGCCTCCGGTGAAGACGCCGAAGAAGCCGTTGAGGATGGTGGAGAGGGCTTTGAACATTAGGCCCGTTACTTTTGTATTCAGCGGTTCTTTGAATTCGTGCGAGACGTAGGTAACAGGTTGAGTGTCTTGCCCCCCAAAATCGCCAAACAGCACGGTGAAATTTGTATTGTGTGTGGTGCAGGTTATAGTTTCGTTGCCCATTTGCATGAAGAAAGTGGGAATGTTCGAGTTGGCGCCGCAGTCTCCAAAGCTTTCACGTGCGATGCATTCGGTTACGTAGGTAGTTACGTTCTCGGAGCTTGAGAGCGGGGGGCCTGTGGTGTCGGCAGAAAAGGATAGGTAGCGCATGTCGGCATCGAAGGAGCTGTATTGGCTGGCTAAATCGAGGAGTTGGCGGGTAGCTTCTTTGCGGACGGCAGTGAAGTTCTGGAGATGGTCGCCGGTTGCGGGGGTACATTTTAGGGAGGGAGCGTCGAAGGAGTAGTCGTAGGTTGCGTTGATGGGGAGGGTGCGGCGCATAGGAAGGATTTGCATGCTTGTGGCCATGGCGATGGTCAAGCGGTGGAGTAGGGGTGAAGTGCCTTCACCAATACCATCACTTCTGTACAGTGTGGTGTCGTTGAGGTTGAGGGTTGGGACTTTTGTGAATCGCTCGCTGACAAGCTGAGCGCCAGCTACAGTGAGAGTGGAAGGCGGAATGAGAGCAGCGAGGGGTAGACACCTATTCGATATGTTGATATTACGCTTCTGAGTATACGAGTTGGAGTACTTACCATGCAATCAATGCCATGAGTGCTGGAATCTTTGCTCTGGTCCAGAAGGAAGGGTGAAGAAAAGATAAAAGATCGTGAGTAGCTGCAAAAACCGCATCAATCGTAGAAACTGAATTGGCCTTGTGCCGGAGGTTGATCCACATGTGCTGCTTGTATGCTACAATAATCGCACCCGCTAGTAGTGTCTTTGTGACAAACGCAAATGCCGTTCCGTACCGGATGATCCAGACTTGGGAGGTGTAGTCTTCATCTATTCCTCGCACAGGACTACTGTCGAAGCGCAAGTAGAATAGATGGTGGCCAATTGCCACTGCTACTCCGGAAATGAAGAGGGCAACCATCGAGATCGGCGTGTAGGGAGATATCCTCCATTCTACAGGCTGCACTGTACCTCCATTGCTCTGGTGGTCGCTGGTAAACGGAACGACTTGTGCCACGGAAGTTGGTTTATTTATGTGAGGATGCGAGTCATCTTCCTCGCTGATACTTCCCCGTGTAGGTGGATGTCCATAGCCCTGATGATGTCCAGATGGTGTTTCGGATGGAACGTCTTCGAAAGAGAAACGGCTATCGGAATTCCTTCTGGGAACCGCAGTGTACGAGGTAGCGTTCTGTGAGGCCATCGTCGGCTTTTACGCGAAACCGGACAACGGAAGGCGCGAGGGGCAGGTGCGAAGTGAGAAATCAGGGCACCCTGCCGTTATGTACTGCTAGATGTATTTTAAATAGATGATGGCACAAGCCACCAAACTGGCTCTTCTTGAGCGGTTACGCTACATGTTTGAGATCAGTGACTAGCCAATCAGACATCTACGGACGGAAACAAGGCGCCAGCACACTGGAGTGGAGGCCTAACGATCATCGGGGGCCAAAATAAGACGCAACACAATGCTATCTTTCGAGTGACAGCGGTGGGTTGGGATAGATAGAACACATATCGTTCTTCTCCTTTTTCAGTGTTAGTGCCAGCTAAGGAGAGGCTGCGTGGATTGTATGAAAGAGGGGAAGGTCACGTAAAGCAATCTTTCGTAAGATCTATCCGTGCCAAGGCTTAGCTTATTAAGCTAAGTCAGCTGCGCTGACACTCGCCGCAGGCGAGTGCCGACGCTCCCAACGATATTACCGTCCCAACGATATTTTTTCGTACAACCCAGATATATTATTGAATAACTACTCAAC